AATAAAAATTCTCAAATAATCCACAAATAAACGGAGCACTATATTAAGAATATGCTGATGTTTGCGTTCTACAAGCCCATTCTGCTGAGGGGTGCCTACGCAGGAAGTCTCATGCAAAATCCCTTGACGACGAAAATAAGAGGCCAAACACATGAACTCACTTCCATTATCACTACGAACAACACGCACCAATTTATCAAATTGTCGCTTAATCATAGAAAAAAAATTCAACAATGTGGAAGCAACCTCTGTCTTATCATTCAATAAATAAACCCATGTTCCACGAGAACAATCATCCACAATAGTAAAAAAATATCGTGCAACACAAAAGGATGGAACACGATACGGACCCCACAAATCACAATGAATTATATGAAAAGTCTCATGACTAACAGTCTGACTGAGAGGAAAACTACGACGATATTGTTTAGCACGAAAACAAGCATCACACGATATATACAAATTACGAGAACTAGAATCAATAACAGGAACCTGTGACAATACTTGAGCAGATGGATGACCCAAACGTTGATGACACACATCGGCAGGAACCTTTCGCACACAAGAAACTGCCGTAGAAATCGTATCTCGAAAGAAGTAGAAACCTCCTATTTGCTCACCCGCGCCGATCACCTTTTGCGAAGTGTGGTCCTTAATGACACATAATTTGTTGGTAAACTGAGCGGTGCAGTCGGAACGATCCAACAATTGATATAATGAAATTAAGCTGCACCGAAGGCTGGGAACGTATAAAACATCGTAAAGAGTGATATGAGATCCCAAATAAACAATCCTAGCCTTGCTAGCCATAGTCAAGGAACCATTAGGCAATTGAACAGGACGGGCAAGAATATCTTGAACATAAAAAATAAACTCCAAGAACTCTGTCATATAATGAGTTGCCCCACAGTCGTACATCCAATCAAATAAACGACGCGTACCAAACAAGGGACTATTTGGTTTAGCAGTGGAAGACCAATAGAACCGACAACAAACGAATTATCGATACCACTGGAGAACGCTGTATTCGCACGAGCACCACTCTCACCGTGAACTCCACCACGGAGGCTACCACCAAAATTACAACCGCGGCCACCACTAGAACCGAACCATTTCGAATATCCAATAATCTCAAAGCAAGTAGCGACAAGATGACCCATTCGGCCACAATGAGAACACTTGGAACGGCCACCAACACGGTGCCCAGCAAGTTCGGTGTTACCTTCCGCCGCACCTGACGTGACTGATGTCGAAGAATCTACCATGGATGTTCTGTTACGGAGAATTTGACACTTTTTTTTTTTTCGTCGATGGGCAACTCTCTGGACAAGGCTGGATACTTTGTGACTTTTGGACAACGGTGGATAATTAGGTGGACAATTCACAACAATTGATTCACAGCAATTTGGATGACAATTCACAACAATTGATTCACAGCAATTTGGATAATTTACAGAAATTTGGATAATTGGAATTTGGACGTGAATTATAAATTGATAACTCACAGCCTGATTCACAACAAATTTCGTCGATCTGATTTTTTTTTTTTCNCTGAAAAATTTTGCAATAAAAAAAAAAAGAAGAAAATTATGCTCTGATACCATGATATGAAAAAGATGTGATGAATTTGAGAAATATCATCTCAATCGGATGATCCATCTATCTCTATTAACCAAGAATATATACACATAATTAGGGCTAGCGTTACCAAAAAATAACTTAAAGGCTAATACAGTAAATATACAAATATACACATTAACAAAATACCTATAGTAACCGGCAAACACCTTCAAGGTTTAATGATTTTTGACTTGTATATAGGGGTACTTCAAATATACAAGCCTTCAGCAAACAATACTATTGTTTGAAACTCTTAAGATTCAATGAAAAAATCAAACGACACAATATATTATTATTATTATTATTATTATTATTATTATTATTATTATTATTATATGATCTTTGACAAATAAGGCAAGAGTTCTTAGTTTGCCAGTATATGTTGAATGATTCAAGTATGTGAGTGTTTATAAATGTGGAAAACACCTATAGGATGTTTAAAGGTCAAAAGACATCTTTTACGGATGAGTTTGAACGGAGACGGAAGCAAACGGTTGAGCCGAAAGCTTGGTAGCCAACAGGTGCGGCCTAGGATCGTGTCGTGACGAATGCCACGTCCTACTGAGGTTGGAGCATCTCGCGCCTTGACGGCCATTGCCGAGAGCTCGTGCACGTTTGTCCGTACTCAGAATCGTGTTCCGTTCTTTCCATACTCACCCCAACGAATCCTTCTAGAGTTCTAGCATACATAATGCATAATTATGCCCATTTGGGTTGTCCAAACATTCGTCAAAGACGTAATGTTTGCGAATCCTACAATACTTGAGTTACTTAAATTCAATTATTTCATATATAACATTTAGAATTAATTTCTGAATCAATTTATAATGATTGTGAGATATTTCTAAAACTTTCATCTAAGAAAAATCGACCTGCAAAACCAATTTTCCTTATAACTTATTAATAAACTAAAAATGTATACTTTAGGAAAAAGAAACACAAAAACAAAAAAAAATATTAGATACGATAGGAGGTCTGATTCGCCTAATTGTGATCGATAGAATTTTTATATTAAATTAGTGTTAGATAATACATAAATTATTGATTCTCTTTTTTTCGCAATGACACTCGTTTATGGAGGGAATTACTATGCCATTTATCAAATTATCATACTAACTCAATAATACATTTATATATATATATATATATATATAATAAAAATTAACCTTTTTCAGAAATAGTAAGTTAATGTTTGGTCAAAATACAGTTAGCATTGATTATATGCCATTTATAGTAACTTTTTTTGTTTGTTTAATATTGCCCTTAAATTGTGGAATTTGTTTGTTTGTTCAAAAATCTGTTTCGAATTATATGCATATCCCATCTTCAATAATATACAATAAGATTTACAAATCTGAGTGTGTAATGAAAACCAATTTCAGGACTCTAAATTGCTATCCAATTAAATTCACTGTAAAATCATATATTTAGATAAAATCATATTTACGGCTTATTAATTTTTATAAACCATATTTACTATTTATTGATTGTTACTATTGTATTGATAAGTGCAAACCAATATGTTTTGTAAACGAATTAAGAAGAAATAAGTACACAATAGCCTAAAATGTAAATTATTTAATAAATTGATTAGTTTTGATTAATCTACACACAATGAAATTAATTTGCATTTGAATAATATTCCAACATTAATGTGATTTTTATAATTCAAACTATCCAAAATACAATTATTATTTTCAACATGTGTATAATTAGATATCTCAAGTTACATCCCAATATTCTTTTAGGATTCTAAAGAATCCAAATAAATGGAGAAATAAATCTTTAAGATAATTGGTCCTTAAATTTCTATTCCTATATTTAATGAGAATGTGATAAGTATAATCTTTTTTGCTCTGGGCAAATCAAACATTTTTGAATTTGAATAAGTTTTCAATATTTTGATAATTTATAGAATCTCAACTATCTTACATACTCTATTTGGCACAAAATCAAGCGGTTTTAATTTTTTTGAATTCGAATAAGTTTCCAATATTTTGAAACAAAAACATATATTCACAAAGTTAATATGTGAATCGTTCTTCAGAATCGAACAAAACTAAGTTGAAAAAAAAGAAGTAATGTGGAGGTGGATCTTATGAAAACCCTAACAAGTAGGGAAATCTCGTCTTTTATAGGTAAAAAGGATTGTTCACGACCATTGTTTTTTGACCCGGACCGGCCCGACGGGTCGACCCGGAGCCGAAACCGGTCAAGGTGGGCTATTTGGACCGGGTAACAATGGACCCAGGCAAACCCGGTCAAAACCCATCCAACCACCATGACCAGGTCGACCCGGGCCATTGACCCGGCCGGGTCAACCTGGTTGACCTGGTCTCTATAAATTTTTATTTTTATAATATTTTTTTATATAAAAAATAAAAACTATGTAAATATAATGATATAGTAAATATTTATTGTGAGATACAATATTATTAACACTTAAATATATAAATTTTGTACAGAAAATATTTATTTTTGTTACTTTTATGTATATTTATATGTCAAAAATACTATATATATAATTTTAAAATTAATTATCCAGTTTAGGAATTGACTCGGTCTGCCCGAGTCGATTTCTGGACTGAGTTTAAAAACTATGTTCACGATAGTTGATCATTTTGACCGATTCAGACCGTCCGATCACCGATTTCGTGCATGTGGGTCGTGTTATTGTATATACTGGAAGCTTGACTTTTTTGCGTTATTTACGCTATTTTTTGTTGAATGGGAATCGCGTTTAATATAGAATATTTTAGATACTTCTTACATATATATGTTACCCCACATCTTTAATTTATAATTATTAGCTAATATTGTTTACTCTCCTATTTAATTTATAATTATTATTTAATATTATTTACCCGTGCATTGCACGGGCTACACACTAGTTTTCACTATTGAATATTGATAATGTAACTAAATGAATTTGAAAAAATGAAATGCACACTTTCTTTTCTTTTCTTTTCTTTTCAAAGCCTTATTTAAAAAAAAAAAAATCCTTTATTAACATTTAACAAAAGAACAGCTCCCACAAATTGACAAGAGAAAGTCCTTCTCCAGACCACTTCCATAGTTCCCATTTTTATAAGAATTAGTAATATCTATATGGTGAAATATCAGTTCCCCCACCTAAAATGAAAATCCTCCCAACCCTAAAAAACAATACTGATAATAATAATAATAATAAAAAAAAAACAAACCAATAAAGAAAAAATCTCAAAGCAAAATCTATTTATTTTTCATTTTTTCTTTTGTTTTTATTTTTCAAGTTGAGTTTTTTCCTCGGCTTTTCAAAAGTCTCCGTGAAACTTGCCGGCGTTTTCAACTTACTCGCTGGCCTGAGAACTTGCTGTAAATTAAACTCTCTCTTTTCTCTATGCATTTATACGTAAATGCTTATTTACTATTTTACTCACATAAAACATTCAATTTTCAGATTTCAATTTTGGTGGAGTGGCCCGGGCGCGACAAATGTAATTTTAATCTCTCTCTCCACATGTAAAACTTGTATGTAGATGCTCAGTAAATTTACTGTATATGGCGTGCTTGTCTGTATGTATGTAGGCGTACTCGGCCTGGTACCTGCACAGGGAAATCTCTTGCGTTTGCTTTGCTATCGCTTTGAGCTGTTTGAATTTCTGGCGTTTCTGGCTTCGACAAGCAGATCTCTGTTTTCTGAATCTGCTGGTCGCTGATCAGTTTGTGAGTTTATGTGGAGGAACTGAATTGTATGCGGTTGTGATTGGTTGGTTCCTCAGTTGAGGAGTGGGCCGTAAACTGAGAAACTGATAATGTGAGTGAGCGATTTGATTTCGAATTTGTGAGTGCGTGTGCATATTTCCATTATCTTTAACGGTTACTCATCCATTTGAATGGCGCAGAGTGAAAATTCTTTTGAGCTGCTGGAAGTTTATGAATATTCTGTAATTCGTTTGGTTGGAGCATTGAGGATCATACAGAATCTTTGCTCCTGAGACTAAGAAGGAAAGACTGAGTAACAGAAGTTGCATTGATTTGGTTGAGATGTCAAAGGTGGTTTACGAAGGATGGATGGTCAGGTATGGGCGCAGGAAGATTGGAAGATCATTTATTCAAATGAGATATTTTGTGCTCGAGTCTAGATTGTTGGCGTATTACAAGAAGAAGCCCCAAGACTATGTGGTACAGAAATTTCATTTCTATTTAATTACTTATCTTATGATTTTGTTGTTGGTTTCTGGGGATTAAAGATTATGAGTGATAGTGTATTTTTTTTCTTCAATATTAGCAGTTAACATTATGTAAAATCAAGTATAGAGTATTTGGAACTGTAGTTTGATGGAACACAAAATTTTATGATTTAACTTGTTTGGTTGTAAGTAATAGCATAATATATTCTGTTTCTAGAGATGATCATTTAGCATTGTTGTGTGTAAGTATTGTTTGTCCTGAAGGTGTTGTATATAAATTTTCTTTCGCTCTTTCTTATGCGGTCAGGTACCCACCAAGACTCTTCTTATAGATGGCAACTGTAGGGTGGAGGATCGAGGATTGAAGACACATCATGGACATGTGAGCTGTGATTAACAGTTTTTCTATTTATATTTCACTTGCTTAATTGTTCTTATATGGTTTTGGGATGTAGTTGAAGAAACTTAATGAGAAATAACATTTATTTGGATGGTCAGATATAGAGTGGTCCATTGTTGTTGGATAATCTTGTTCATCCTATTTTTGTTCAAGTTATTTGAACAGTGCAAACCTCAAATAAAACATTTTGTTGTTCTCGACATCTCGTATGGGATAATTTTCTTAATTTGTCATAATGATATCACTAGTTCTTAGTGTGCTTCATAATGTTTATTTTTTTTCCATGTTGGCTATCCGAGGTGAAAGGGATGCATGAATAATATGTATTATCTTTTAGTGGTGAAATGAGAACTGTGTATGATGATGATCCGGGGTACTTAATCTATTACAATAATCTGAATAATCGATTAATGTACTAAGGCATTTGATGGTACTGTTTTATAGGTGGGCCTTGGGATGGACATGAGGTAGTGGAAGACTGGAAGTTTGGTTCCTTGTAATACACCTGGGAAGGGTTGGGATGATTCTTCCAGGAAAATGCATCCAAGAAAATTAGTTTAAAAAGGAGGATTGAGTAAATGTAATTATAGATTGTTTTATGAATATTAACTGAAGAGTAAATAGCTTGATTCCATGTGTTTAAGGTACGAATAGTCCAAGTTTTACTTCATAGGTGTTAGTTTGTGTATTTTATAAATTCATGTTTTACCAGTTAACTGAACAATTAGTTGTGCTTTACAAAGGAGCGTCACAATGCGACTCATTTCAATAACCAAATGCTGTCAAGCTCGCTACAAAAGTTATTGGTCTTAGTGTATATGACTAGTCTAATATATTTTTATGGTGATGCTCGTACTCAACTAATCAAAGTCTAGTTTACCTTTCTAGTGTTACCCGAAAAGAGTGGCTTCCTTTTGTTCAGTGATATTCGTCCTTGGTAGATACAAATACAATGGTAAAACTTAAAGTGAAAAAATTTGATTTGCGTGGTTCCCTAGGATAGCTAGATGTATGCGGCAGATTGGATCACAACTGACATGTTAATTCTAAATCAGAATCTGATATGTCTAAGTCCTTGTGGGGGGCTGGCGTTCCAACATTAGGCATAAATCCTTTCTAGTTGCTGGATTCCTTGTTTTATGTTTTTATTTACTCGGCAGTTGAATCAGTGAAAGAACTGCTTAGTTCCGTATTCTAAATCTAAAACTCCAGCTATTTGGAGTGGGATTCAGCTCTCTTCTCCTTCTCTTTTGTTTTTGGTTGCATCTGAAGCTAGATATTTGTGTAGTTTTTTATGCTTCAGATGTTCCTAGTGACCAAATAGTTTAGACATGTTCCCTGTGACTGCCTTTATTTTTACAAAGTTCGTTTATATTTGGCAGATGGTATACGTTCTGTCAGTTTACAACAAGAAAGAGAAGCACCACAGAATTACGGTGCGTTACAGACTTACAGTTGCATCTATTCATTCTTCTAAGTGTTAGTTTTTGTTGATTGAATTATTCTACTTGCACATGCATATAGCATCTTATATGTTACTCTCGGTACACATAGTGATGAAATTTACAAATATATAATAGTGAAGACATAACCTTTGCTTGAGTATAGGATATCCTTGAGTATGTCGCATTATCAAGAGTAACTAAGACGTTCAAAAAATAATTAATTTATGCTTTAGTAATTACGGTGGAACTTTGATCTCATTTGCTACTTTAGTTCTCCCTTTTTCATTTTATCTTTTCTGTCACCTTTTATATTCAAACAATTAATGCATCTTTCCTAGTTCTTTTACTACCCTTGTCGCTGTTACTATTTTTCTAGTTTTCTATTTTTGTTAATGGCATGAGTATTTAGGGAATGTGAAATAACACTTAAAGCTACTTTCTCTCGACATATTCTCCAGGAAATAGAAAATAGATGAACATAATACACTGAGAAAGTGCCCGACTTGGATGGTATAGTTTAATTATATTTTAATGTGTTAAAAACCTGAAAATAGACAGATTTAAAACATCATTTGCTAAGAAAATTTTGTCTCGAGATTTATATTTACTGGGTAAGCATGTGAATTAATTAAGTAATGACGTTCATAGACTTTTGCTTGTGAGTTTTATTTTGGAAGTACAACTTATTTTACCAGTTGATGTTTCTTGTTCCAGATGGCAGCTTTCAACATTCAGGAGGCACTCATTTGGAAAGAGAGAATTGAATCTGTTATTGATCAGGTTCTCTTGTCACTCCCTGTTTTCACTTAATGTTTGAAATTAATATTTTCTGCATGTGATGATGTCACATTTTGCCTGTATGTTTGGTGTGACATATGATTAACTGATAAATGTTGTTGGCGTGCAGCATCAAGAGTCACAAGCTATGAGTGGTAACAAATACCAGTCGTTCGAATATAAATCTGGTATGGACAATGGGAGGACTGCTTCATCATCAGATCGTGAGAGTCAGTAAGTAGTTCTTTTGCTAATATCAGTGCTGAATCTTTTAAGCCAGAGATATCGAGAAATAACAAACTGAGGATAAATGAGGGTTGCTAAAACTTTGCTTATGTGAAAGACTACTCATTTGCAGTTTGTAACTTGCCTCTATAGGTGATAGTAAATCCTACTTTCCCTTTTCCTAAATCTTTGAGAAAGACGGTTTACAAATTTTCTTAGACTAAGAGTGATACTTTTCGTGAAGCTGCGTTATGCCTGGAAGTAAATATGAATATATGATGTTTGAAAACCACAATTTGGAGTAAGGTAAGTTCTCAAACATAGAGATCTAGGAATTGAGAGTAGATAGTCTGTGTGCTTTGGTGGTTTAAAGAAGGGCCAGTGGTCATCTTTCATGATGTAAGGTAATGGCTATCTGATGGCTGTGAGGATGTTTCTTCACTTAATTGTCTCTTTTGTCAGCTAAAGAGCTGAAATTCATAAGTGAGGATTTGGATTCCAGTAGAGATAACCCTGGGATTGCCGATTGCTGCAGGGAGCTTTAAATAGTTCCAATTTTGAGAGCCAGTCAGTCATTGTGTGGAACTGTGGTGAATTAAAGATATAGGTGCATTGTCCTAGATAGATTGGTGTATCATTATCGATCAATATGCTGGAAATGTAGGAAATTACAATGTATACTAGAGTATTTATTTAGTAAAAATATTTACAACTCTGAAACTTAACTTATTTTGGTCATGTGATGTGAATATATTATTGTGGCTATTATGATTGATGAACTGGAATTAATTTACGGATGTCGCAAATTTCCCTTTTACTTGATATGCTTGCATGCTCTTATGTTTAGTATGGATGTTGTAGACTCTGAGGATTGTTCATCATTTCTTCTCATTTCTCTTTGCTTCTGTGATATGACCTTTCCCAATATTTTCGTTTTCACAGAAGTATGCCAAATTATTTCCAATTAAATTGAATAGGAACAATATATTATTATATTGATGACTCATGTTGAAATGATTTTTGATGTTCAGGAATGATATATTTGGCATTCCCTACTCATCTAATCCTAGCTTTTTCGTACACCAAACATGTTATCCTCATAACCTTTTCAAACAGAACCACCAAATTCTTACTTCTCTACTACTGTAATGATTTTTCTGCACATATAAAAATAACTGCATTTGGCCATCCTGATCTGACATAAATTTAGAAAAAACATTGATGCCTGATCATTTTGACTAAGTTTGATATTTCTTTTCCTTTTCTATTTCCTTCCTATCTTGTAGGTTTAGTGCTGCTGAAGGTGAAGAAGAATCTCACCATGACCGTAGTTTGTTGCGAAGAACAACAATAGGAAATGGTCTCCAAATTTGTTACCTTGCCCTACTGAATAATTTCGGATTTTATTTTAAGCTTACACAAATTTTACTATCACTTTCTATTGACAGGGCCTCCAGAGTCTGAATTTTGGAAAAATTTTAGTTGCTTCATGGTAACTCCTAGTTATAGCAAGTGATACTGTGCTTCCTCAACTTCAGGTTGCATCAGATAAAGGGCTTTTCTCTATTGTCTTTAATCTGCAAGTGAGTTGCTTAATGTGGCTGGTTCCTATTCTAGTTATCCTATCTGGCAGTATGAAGATTCACACATTTTCACTCTTCTAGGTTCCGGGATCGACCCACTACAGCATGGTGTTTTATTTCGTTACAAAGGAGTTATTACCAGGATCTCTGTTGCAGAGGTTTGTTGATGGAGATGACGAGTTCCGCAATAGTAGACTGAAGCTTATTCCATCAGTTCCTAAGGTATTCTACTTCATGTTTTACTCCTTTGTAATAGAGCTGTAGCGAACTATGTGGAGCTATTGATTCTATTGATGAACAAATGTGTAGAAATTAATTCCAATGGGCGCAAATATTCTTGCTGCTAGTGACAAATTTTGCAACGATTACCTGAAGTATAATACTAGTACTAGGGGATATTTAATTGAATCTGTATATGTATTTTATGTGCACAGATAATTTGTATTATTGTATACACAGATAATATGAGGAATATCATATGTTCTCTTCTTTGTTAAAATAAATGAATACGATTGCCTTATGTTTGGTAATTAGAAAGCACTTTCATGAATTTCCTGATTGTAAGTTGAGTCACCATAAAAGCCTTACAAGATTAAGGACAAAAAAAGGTGGCTCTGGATAGGAGAACATGTATTGCCTTTACTATTGTGTCTTTTACTTATAAAATTGTCACTTTTTAAAGTGTTGGCATATCATAACATTTATGAATTTTATTCGTCATGTATGGTTCTTGGATTGTTCGTCAGAGTGTTGGGAGCACCCTTTGTATACTAGGGAAGGCAGTTGACTGTAGTTATATCTGTGGTCCCAAGTACTTGGAAGTAGGATATATATATATAAACCGCACTTCCTTTCTCCATCTAATTATTTTGATTTTTGACTGAGATACTCTCACATTTGGCGGGTGTTGTGTGTAGATTGACGTTGATATTGGTTCTTCCACTGTGGCTAATGGAGTATTGGGCCTTGTAATTGGCGTTATCACGACACTCGTGGTTGACATGGCCTTTCTTGTACAGGTATTCAGACCTCAACCGACGATTTTTTAATGTAATGTCTTAATCGCCTCATAGGCACCTGAGATTGATAGCAATTGGGTTAAGTTTCAAAATTGTGCAATTTCCAATGGTAACTAACAAGAGCTTCCATAAAAAGAGTTTCCCTGCGTTTCAAGAAATTTTATGGTATTCCATAAAAACAACACAACCAACTTATTTGAAAAAAATTGTACGGTTAGATGTATGTGTTGCACTTTCATATGCGTGGGTCAGAGTAGGATTTCGGATTTTTGGTTTATTTTGTTTCTACTAAATGAAAATGGTTTATTTTTGGTTTATTTTGTTAGGCAAACACCACGGAAGAGTTGCCCGAGCGGCTAATAGGTGCAGTGAGAGCCTCTCATATTGAGTTATCATCGGCGATTGTGCCAAGGCTGGAGTCGTATTCTTGACTCTTGGTGCAAGCTCAGAATATAAGGGGTGTCAGTTATACAAGGTATTCATCGTTCTATATTCATCTTTTCGGAAGTTGGAGATTTAAACATTTTCCTTACACTTCACTTCTATGCAGTGAAAATTGCGAAATGGAGATCCTGTTCATACTTAAAAGACGAATATTTGCTGTGGGAGTGTACGCACTATTGTAATTTTCATCTATATCTATCTATACTTAAATGTCAGATTTTATTTTTTTCCTTTTTATCATAAAAATATATTTATTATAATAATTATTTTTCTCATAAAATAATAATGAAATTATGAAAGCAAATATGAATGATATTAACTTTTAGATATATTTTTAATCTAAGGGGGGTGTATTCAATTCGGAATTTAAGTGACATTTTAAGACTTTTCGAGATTTGAGACTTTCTAGGATTTTCAGATTTTGGAAGAATTCTATGAAATCTCAAGTCCGGAGGTAGGATTTGAAGTGAGATTTCATATAAGGTTTTTTTGTTTAGAAATCCCACAAAATCTTAAAAAGTCTTAATAAATTCTAGTGTCAAAAAAATTAAATACCTCAGGATTTTGTAAGACTTTTGAAAATCCCAATTGAATACCCCAGGATTTTTAAAAGTTTTAAAAAGTTTTAACAAATCTAAATTGAATACATTATTTCTAAAGTCTTAAAAAGTCCTTAAAAATCCTAATTAAATACACTCCTGTAAATTAGTCAATTGTTTTATAATTTTAAAAGTACTAATATGTATGGATAGAGCTATAAATTAACACATATATTACGAAAAATCAAAAGTTGGAACATAGGTTTGGGAAACTCTGATTTTATATATATATGGAGTGGTAGTTTTAATGAGAAACGATATGTTTCTTCTCTTCAAAAGTATGACTTTTAAATTGAATATTAATATAGTTATTAATATATATTAAATAAATCATGACATAAATCACTTCTTCATGGGTAGTTATTCAACTACTAATTGTAATATACATTTATAATTGCATTAATTTTCATTTTGGTAAAAATAATTCAATCAAGCAAAAAAGACAACAATTTCATACTATTTTAAATTATAAATCTTGTCGCAAGTTAACGAGATTTGTAGGTACCTGTGTGTGGTTGATTTCATCTTGCCATGGATAGTGCCCCATGGGTTTAATCACAAATTTGCCTCTACCAGCACTATTCATCTTTTGAATCGTTAATAGTTAATATATGTAACGAGATGCATATGTGTTG